TTTTTTTTTTTTTTTTTTTTTGCGTTACGCGGGCCTCTCACTGTTGTGGCCTCTCCCGTTGCGGAGCACAGGCTCCGGACGCGCAGGCTCAGCGGCCATGGCTTCCGGGCCCAGCCGCTCCGCTGCATGTGGGATCTTCCCAGACCGGGGCACGAACCCGTGTCCCCTGCATCGGCAGGCGGACTCTCAACCACTGCGCCACCAGGGAAGCCCCATCTATTTTTATCATTAAAATAACCTCTCTACAACGTCTTGAGATGTTCAATACCATGAGAGTTGCTCAACCAAGAGCAAAGAATCAAATAACCTCTCTTCTGTTAGAATGCAACATGGCCAGTCGACTGGTTTCCTATGTCAGGTCTTCTTTAGAAAAAAAAAATGATGAATGTTAGCTTATTTTAAATATAACTTCAGGGCATAGTTTTGCTACACATTATTCTATTCAAGTTGAAGAAAGAAGAAACTTTAAATAGAAGTAACTCAGATTTTAAACAATGCACATTCATTACATACAAATTAGAAATATATTTCTTTTTTTTTTTTTTTTTGCGGTACGCGAGCCTCTCACTGTTGTGGCCTCTCCCGTTGCGGAGCACAGGCTCTGGACACGTAGGCTCAGCGGCCGTGGCCCTCGGGCCCAGCCGCTCCGCGGCATGTGGGATCCTCCCGGACCGGGGCACGAACCTGTGTCCCCTGCATCGGCAGGCGGACTCTCAACCACTGCGCCATCAGGGAAGTCCCTTCTTTTGTTTTTTGTTTTTTTTTTACATCTTTACTGGAGTATAATTGCTTTACAATGGTGTGTTAATTTCTGCTTTAAAACAAAGTGAATCTGTTATACATATATATATGTCCCCATATCGCTTCCCCCTTGCGTCTCCCTCCCACCCTCCTTACGCCTAATATGTTTTTATGCTTGAAAATCTTCTACTGATCATATTATTCATTAAAATATTAAAAAATGTTCCGTGATTTCTGGATTGAGTTGTCATTATAATTACTGATATACAGTTGATCAAAATAGCATAAACATGTTACAAATATTAGCAAATTATTTTTAAGCTAAAAGTAAAATTTTACTAGGGCTGCATCTTTTGAACAAGATGTGACAGAGCATATTTTTGGACTCTTGATTACAAGAGATTTCCTGAAATCCAATATTTTGAATTATCCCCTTCTTTGACACATCAGAGACTTTTATACCTCATGGCAATGTGCCATCATAAGATTCAGGGTGTGCCTTACTGTAGGTATGCTTTACTGTTGTCAAGTTGGAGAAGGGACCACAGTGAAAGCAAAGAAGTGGGCAGGGGACCTAGCATGCTGCTTTTTAAGCCTAGTGTGGTATCAGGTGGATCAGTTTTACAAAGAGTATTTACTTGAATTAAGGATCTCAAAATGAATTCCCTTGAAACTATCTGGGTCTACATATACCTTAGTAAATCCTTGTGTACCCCTAAGGCTACAGTGTGAAGATTATTATCTTAAAGGATAATAGAGAGATCATGTTAAGTGAATTGTCACAAATGTGATTAAATGGACAAGATTATTGTGATTAGCTGTGATTAGCATGGATGAGCTTTTTGTTGTTGTTGTTGTTGTTTTAAAACTCTTCCTTTTCCATTCCATGTGGTTCTGGTAGGACTGTCAGTCATCCTGTCTCATCTCCCAGAGGGATCCTGGCCTGGCCAATATTAATCCTATTACCCTGGATTCAGTAATTTGTTCTGCAACAGGTGTAAAAACCAAGCAGATCAATGAATGTTCTTCCCTGAAATTGTTATATAAACACTGAGGAAGCAAATTTAACTTTCTTTCTGTTGGGAGCTACTGAGCTGCGAAGATGTGTATCTGGAACTGTTGGCAACCAATTGAGGGTGCCTGTCTGTAGAAGGAAGGCAGGCAGAGCTACACGAAGAGGCAGGGCTGCCAAACCAAGGGCCTTGTGGGGCATGGAGTTTCAGTCATTGAGGCCCTTAGTTCTGCAGCCCTCTTGATTCTGTGAGCTTCCCCAGTGTGCTTTTCAGCTACATGAACCACAATTACTTTTTATTGCTTGAGTGAGTTGTATTTCTGGTGCTACTGAAATAATTGTATTAACACCTAAGAAAAGTAAACTCAAAGTATTTTTAAAGTATCTTTTGTAAAATGGGTAATTTGGAAAATTTTCTCTTCTAGATTGTTGGACCTTCAGATGGAAGTAGTTACATTATAGATTATTATGGAACCAGACTTACAAGACTGAGTATTACCAATGAGACATTTAGAAAAACGCAGTTATATCCATGAATATTGTTTAAAAGAAACAGTAAGTGATATGTAATCTTAATTACAGTATATTATCTGTATAAAATTATGATAATTTGAGAACCAGGGGAAATTTAAGAGATCATCTAGTATTGTAAACCAGTCTTTTTGCTTATCAGGAAAGGCAGGTCTCTAATCTTTTTTTATTGTTTTTTAAAATTTTTATTGGAGTATAGTTGCTTTACAATGTTGTGTTAGTTTCTACTGTACAACACAGTGAATCAGCTATACATATACATATATCCCCTCTTTTTTGGATTTCCTTCCCATTTAGGTCACCACAGAGCATTGAGTAGAGTTCCCTGTGCTATACAGTAGGTTCTCATTAATTATCTATTTTATACATAGTATTAATAGTGTATATATGTCAATCCCAGTCTCGCGATTCATCGCACCCCCCCTTCCCCCTTGGTATCCATACGTTTGTTCTCTATGTCTCTGTCTCTATTTTTGCTTTGCAGATAAGATCATCTATACCATCTTTCTAGATTCCACACATATGTGTTAATATACGATACTTGTTTTTCTCTTTCTGACTTGCTTCACTCTGTATGACAGTCTATAGGTCCATCCATGTCTTGCAGGTCTCTAATCTTCTATAAAGCATTTTTGTATATGCTCATTGCTCCTGCAGTTCTCAATTCAGACTGTTTCTTTGCAGTGAATATAGTTAAAGGACAAGGTTCACAAGAAAAAAAATAACATCAAAGCAAAAAGATATCCCATAGTTTTATATAATGGTTATGATGAAAGTATGTGTTATAGGTGATAAAGCATATCTTTTCTACTGTCCATCCTTCTTAGGGTCAGTATGATCCTTAAACCTCCTTCTCTTTTCCTAAATCTGAAAGTTGATAGAGTTTCAACCCTGAACTACTATAAGTACTTATTTTAAGCTGAAGTTTGGCCCTGCCCACGAGAATTATTAATTGGCCTTAGAACTGTCTAGCAGCTTTCAGGGAAGACAGAGAGAAACATAGGCTGAATGTTTTGGCCACAATCATAATCCTAGGATTTTTAGTTGACTCTATCTCAGAGAGTGCTTCTAGAGTCCAGGAAGGGACTAGGCATTCATTTTCTATGTTTAATGTATAAATAGGATATGAAGTATAATTTTGCCCTTAGGGTAGATTTTTTTCTTTTCTCACAGTATAATTATGGGATATGCTTTATAGTTATTGCCATGAGAGTTGAATGGTGACAGGCCCTTCCTGTTAAGATCTGAGGAATGTATTCAACTCGTTGTCCAAAAAGTTCTTCAGATCTTTTCTTACAAACTATAAGAGTCTCTGTGTTTAAAATTGAAATGAAGCATAGAGATCCATCTGCCTCTTCTTACTAGGGAAGAAATTAAGACCTAAGGAAGTTGAGACTAAGGTACACAATCAGTGCAAAACTGAATCTAGAACCTAGGTCTTCTGTGCACTCCACTGGTTCTCTTCTACCCCCTCCCACTAACTGCTTTGTTTTTTATTAAGTATCTTCATTTTGGAAATTGTCACTGCTACTTTATGAGAAGGGTTGTGTAGTTTTACATAACCTTATTTTCACACTGTAAATTGTTGTTTCTCTTTTTAAAGTATATAGATTGTTTTAAAACTATAATGTATAAAAAATAATCAAATGTAATTTAAAAAACAATATCTGTAGCCTATTATATAAACATTTAATTAGGATTCCAGACTCAGATTTAAAATTTAAAACTAGAAGGGCCTATTGAGAAGGCATCTCTCAGCATTGTCATTCATATAATCTCCTACAATACATGCAGAAGTGCTCCCAGTGTAAGAAAAAAATGTCTTGAATAAATGAAGCATTAATATGTGTATCTATAAAAACCTCATTGGATTCTTTTAAAAGATTGTGTTTTAACATATTTCTTTTTTCTGTTTTAGGATTTGGGCCTCCTTGATTTTAATAGAGAACTCTCAGTGTGTAGATTTCCAGATTTTCCTTTTTCCATCTTCATATACCACTTTACAGATTCTGTTTAATTTTTTGTTGTTGCTGATGTTTTTGTTTTGTTGTCTTAGTTAAAAACATTATTCTGAGATTTATTTAATAGAACTTTGAGATTTATATGATAATAGTCTTTCTTAGGCTACTGTCTCTATGAGATAGATAGCTTATTACTCTGATATTAATGTGTTTTCCAAAGGCAAGTTGCCACTTGTCCTTTTCGCTTCTGAAAAATGAAAGTATGACTTATTCACATTTTTTAGTGCTTTATTATTAAGAAAACTGTCTTAAATGTTGAATGTTTCTGTCTTCTGCATTTTGATCCTTCAAAGCAATTAAGCCATGGTGCGAACAAATACCATCTATATTGCCTGGGGCTGCAGTCTTGTATATGACAACCTACCTGTTTTTTGGAGCTTTCAGATCTGTGTTTGCCTTGGTATCCAGGGAGCTAAAGGTCATCAGAGAGTCTGAAACCTTGAGGCAACGCAGATACTCTTGGCATTGATTCAGGATTCTGAAGTGTGAACTTTCTCCTTTTTGCTTTGGGAGTGATGCACTAGCTTTTGGTGGACCAGATGCTGACTCATCTAGCTCAGTGCAGTTATATTTGAAGCTGGATGGACAAAGTGGGAACACCAACCAGATGATTAATGTCTTCCATCTGTTAGCACTGCCTGGCAGATGCCGGCACAAGTGTCTTAAGTGATGCACCAGTGTCTGGAGGAAGCAGCACCTGTATGTTAGCACTAATTTTTCTTGCCGTGTTTTGAAGGGTTTTAAGAAGATGGAAATACATGAAATGCTATGTCCCCAAAATACTGTCATACTCTTACTTTAGTAACAGGCATACCAATTTCAAACAATTGGTATTGGTATCCCTTACTGGGATCTGGGCTTTTCAAAAGTAAAAAACATAATTTTTCATCACTCATTTCACTCAAAAATATACAGTATAGTACAGTTAGCTTCATAGTATGTTAGTCATTCAGTAACAGCTTCTCCAGTTGATGCGAGATTATTAAGTATTGATATAAGAAGTGAATTTGGATTGATTCCTAATATATACCAGGAAGGGTCTCTGATTTGTTCATTAGTGAAAATACTGAGTGTCTATCATTTGGGAGGCACTGTTCTAGATTCTAGGATGCAGCAGTGGACAAAACACTAACATCTCTGTCCTTAAGGAGCTTATATTTCTTTGGGATCCACTTTTTCACGGTGATATTTTTGGCCTCAGTTAAGCTAGATGCCCATTTTCTAGTATTCCCTAGTTCCTTTTGGTTGCTCACAGTGCTTTGAAGTTTACTTACCTAAGCTCAGATTTAAAAGTCTGTAAGTTTCCACAACTATGTAACTTCAATTACATGAGAAATACCTGCAGTCACATCTTGAAACAAATCTTGCTTCCTATGTAATTGTTACAGTTACCTTGACCAGGTGGGAAGTCTGTTTCCAAGCATGTGCTTCTCAAAAGTATTTATTCAAATAAGCTGTACTCTGAAAGAGTTTTTGGTAAAATCTAGAAATAAAGTCCCTTCACAGTACACTCTTAAACCTTTAGACTTAATTTTCACTATAATTTCCTAAATTCCTAAAAATGCTTTCATTTTTCCTATTTGTGTAATTCCCTGTTGCCTAATACATGTAATTCTTTTACAGATGGTTTTTTGTGTCTTTTTATTTATTTATTATGGGAATACATTTAAAGCATGTGAATACAGTTTTGTTTTGGTTTTGTTTTTTAGTTTCATAGAGCACTATATTATTATGGCTATTTGTTAGTAGTGTGTGTAGGAATTATATGTTAAGGCCTCTGTATGAGATGTTTTATATGATAACCCTGATTTTAGAACAGTGGCCAAAATTGTAAGATGGATTAGCTCAGTCATTCCTGGGATTACTCCTAAACCCTCTAGAGTAAAATGGAAAGGATTCTTTCAGTTCTATAGAAACAGTTAGTGTTCTACAGAAGCATTTATAAATGGTACTACTTTAGCCTGAAAGGATTAATACAATTTCCAGAAGTACCTCTTTACCCAGGAAGATTTCTTACCTCCACTGTATTAAACTAAAGGACCTCTTTAAAATTTCAGAGATTCTGTCATGTCTATGGCCAGCATTTGTTCATGGGACCACTAGGACTCTAAGAAATATTAGTTTGGGGGTATTTTTTGTTTTTGTTTTGTTTTACAAAAACTTTCTATGTCTTTTTCCCTTATTTTAACCTAGACGCTTAAGGCTTAGTTAAGTATTATTATACTGATAGGCAGCTAGGAAGCTAAAATAGATAGAAACTAGCAAAAGAGAAAGGTTAGTTCTTAAAAAGTGCAAGTCTAAGATGTTGGTTCCTCTTTCTCATTCAAATACCTTAAATGTAGATATTCCCCAGGGTTCTGGCACCTTCCTTCTTCCTTTCTCTCATTAAATCAGCATTCATTTTGCTTTTTTCTATTTACAAAATTAATACAAGCTTAATGCATAAATTTTGGGGAAACACCAAAAAGTACAAAGAAAAAAAATTTATTCCACAGCTCTAAGATAACATTGTTAATATTTTATTGTATGTCCTAGTAGTTTTTCCTTGCATGTATTTTCATTTTTCTTCACAAAAATGATATATTCTCCATACTGTTTTGTAGCCTGCTTCACATTGTAAATGTTTTTCTATTTCAATAATCTTTTACGAAATTATTTTTAATGGCTGCTGAGTATTCCAGTTCTGTATCATCATTTATGTAATGATAAATAATGTTATGTGGTATTTAAGTTATTTTAATAAATGAACAATATACATTTCTGATTTTTTTCTCTAGAATCGTCATTCTTAGTCAAAAAGTAATCATATGTTAAAGTTTTTGCTACATACATACAGTCTTAGTTAACCAGGGTAATAGAGAAAGAATGAAATATAATAGCCCAAACCCAAACAAAACCACAGTCAACTCTTAATTATTCCAGTGCAGATGAACTGCGGATAAAATGCTGCAGGGACCTGCAACTACCCCTTGCTCTGCAGTTAGACCACTGCTTACCGTGCTGTTTCCTGCTCCTCACATCCCACAGGCTGGAGAAGAAAAACCAAACTTTGAGAACAGGATAGCTGCTAGAGAAAGGATGCTGGCTGTGGGTATCGGGGAATGATAGCGTATCTGTTAGTTGGCACAGTGTCAAATAGTTTAATTATCTAACTGCCATCTTTTAGATGAGAGGAGGAGTGCTTTAAGGAGTACATCGGAAGCTCATTCATAATGGTATTTATTCTGAGCTGCTGAGAGGGAAAGAGGGAGATAAATTTGGAAAATAAGAAAAGTTGCTGATTAGAAATGAATAAAAATGCTATACAGCTCTGAGTACCCAATGGAGTCCTAGAATAGTACATTTGTAGTTGAGTTAATCATCATGGTACTCATTCCCATATCTTTTAAAATAGAGCCTAATATCTTAATTCTTAGTAAATGTAGCAATGCTCTTAAAGCTAGTCATTGTCTGATGATGAAACATTGGTATTTGCTATCTTAGAAAACAGATTTTTTTTTTTTTTTTTTGCAGTACGCGGGCCTCTCACTGTTGTGGCCTCTCCCGTTGCAGAGCACAGGCTCCGGATGCGCAGGCTCAGTGGCCATGGCTCACGGGCCCAGCCGCTCCGCAGCATGTGGGATCTTCCTGGACTGGGGCACGAACCCGTGTCCCCTGCATCGGCAGGCGGACTCTCAACCACTGCGCCACCAGGGAAGCCCAGAAAATAGATTTTTTAAGAAAAAATATTTATTAAAAAATTAAGGCTTAAAATCTTAAATTTTCAAGATTTGAACTTGTTAAAATTTCCTTTTACTGCTCTTCATGTACACGATGTTAAGCTCTATAGCATCTTCCTAAAGAGTCACTATCATTATCCCCACTTTACAGATAAGTAAATTGAGTCCCACAAAGATTGAGTCACTTGCCCAAAGGTCATGAAATAAGTGGTGAAGCTAGGATGTAAACCCAGGTCTATTAACTGCTATACTCCTGCATTGTGATAGTTAGAATCATCTCATTCTTTGAAATATACTGCTAGTGATTGTGTACTAGAGATTTTTTTTAGTATGTTGTTTAATGTTTTCAGTAAAGATGGAATTATCTGCCTATACTGAGTCTTTTTACTTAACAAATAGTTTGCTGGTTTAAAAAGAAAAAAAGAATTTATTTATTCAAACTTCTCAACTTTACATCATGTAAATGCCAAAATGTTTTATGAATATTAAAATGAGACTATGATAGAGCAGTGAGTATTGTCAGAACCTAAAGACTTTTCTGCTGTTACCTCATCTGACATTTGCAGCACTTTCTAGACCAAAGTCTGATTATGTTTGTGTGACAAGAGGAGAGATGTTAGGTAGGATGATACTGTCATGCTCTGCTTCGTCTTGCTGAGGTCAAATGAAGATAGAGACACCTGTGCTGTGGGGTGGTGGGATTGCAGGTGATTTTTATTTGATGAGTTTTTCTTTCAGTTTATTTATCTGAACTTTCTAATTTTTCCACAATAAACATGCATGTATTTGACACCATAAATAATAGTATGGGTTAAATTAGAACAAAGAACCCAAGAAAATTTTATTCTCCCCTGCCCTCCTCTTCAAGATACACTTATCCCGATTTCTGACATGATTCTGACTTTAAAGGATAGATGCATTTAAAAGAAAAAGGTGGATCTAACACATGATATCAAAGGTTTTTCATCCAGGCAGCACAGTTTGATGGGAAAAGCACAGACTTTGGAATGAGATCTGAGTTTGTCTCCTGTCTTTGCCACTTGTTTTGTTACTGTAACTGTTCTGAGCCCTTCTGTCTTCATATAAATGGGGATAATAATATCAGTTAATGTTGAGAGGTTAAGATGACATAGATAATAGTCACCATTTATTAAACATTTTAAAGGAATGGAATGATGGCATTAGGCATTGAGGAGTGCCGTCTGGAATTTGCAAGGGGTTACTCACACCATCTGGGATTTGCAAGGGGTTCCTCACACTGGGGTTGTAGTGTGGTTACACCTTCAGTAAAATTCCAGTAGACTCAAAAATTCCTTTTACAGAAGGAAGGTAGGATGTGTTCTTCGGACATTGTTTACCTACATTTTTCTTATCTCTGTTATCGTTATCTCTCGCTACCCTGTGTAATAAGGGCCCAAAATGTCACTTTTCTCAAGAAAGTAGTTTTATTGGTACCTGCAATGCTTTAAGACTCTCCTTACTAAGGGAAGGCTGCAATGTTGCAGATTTTGTTTTTGTTGCTCTTTAATCTGAAGTTTTCTGGAGATATTTATCTAATAAATTTAGAAATGTTACTATGAAGCAGCTGTTCAATCTACTTTCAGCCTAAATTAAGGTTAATTGCAAGGAATCGCTATGCATACAACAGAATGTTGCTTTTAACCTGTCAATGTTATCAGAATATGCCAAACGTGGAGATTAAAACTTGAAAAATGATTAAGGCTAGAGCTATTTGCACTGCATATGCCAAAGAAAAATGTTTTAGCAGAACACTTTAGAAAGTGTGTAGTGTTTGAACTTTTAATCATGTGAGCTAATTTTATATTTAAGAGGGTACGATTATGAAGGCTCACAGTCCCATCTTTGATTTTCAGATATACCTCAAAATTTGATGACTTATTTGAATGAATTATGAAATTCACTTTTATAGCACAAGAAAGAATGGCATGTCTTCTTTATATGATTTATGATTGAGTGGTCTGCGTGAGACACGACACAAATTGCTTTAAATAAGCGTAGCACGTCTTTAAAAAGGTGTTCAAAAATGAATTTATTGTTTATTAATTCTTAATTATTTATTGACCTACTGTGTCCCCCTTCTGCTCTTGCCTTCCTGCCTTCCTACTATATATTCTTCACACAGCAGCCAAATGATAAAAGTAAATCAGAACATGTCACTTTTCTGCCAAATCTCCAGTGGCTTCCTGTTGTGCCTCAAATATGCCAAATTGGTTCCCACCTCAAGATTTTTATGCTGACTCTTCCCTTTGCCTGGAGCGCTCTTTCCCAGTTCTTTGCATGACTTGGTTCCTCACTCGTTCAGGTCTCTGCTCAAGTATTGTCCCTGACCATCCCTTCTAAAATACTACCCCAGCCCTCCACTGGTCACTCTCTGAATCCTGATCCTGCTTCATTCTCTTCACAGCATTTATTGCTACTGGAAATTACGTATGTTTATGTATTCTCCCTTTCCCTCCCCTACTCGAATGTAAGCTTGGTGAGGGCAGGGACTTTATTTCATCTATTACTGTATCCTCAGTGCTTAGAACAGTCCCTGGAACATAAAAGTCGCTTTAAAAAATGTTTTTTGAGTGAATGGGAACACTAGATGGGTTAACAGGAGTATAAATTAACCTGAGATTAAACAACCGTCTGCTTTAGATCATTTACTTTAGGAGTTGTCATGCAAGCATGGTTCTAACCCTAACTCTTGTCTCAGGAGGTGGGTGAGGAAATGAGTCTATGCTGATTTATTCATGTCCTCAGTGGTCCCAGTGCTTAGAACAGTGCCTGGCACCACATAAGAATTATATAAACATTGAATTCTTACCTTGGAATGGGTAATTACTGGAGGTAGTTCTCAAAAAAAGACCAGCCAGGAGATTATTAGAAAGAATAGGGAGGAGTGGGCAGGGGCGGGCTACTCAATCACCTAATAGGTGTCATATTATGATGTGTCATTATGTATCAATATTTTCCTGACCTGATTATCTCAGTTAACTCTCATAGTCACCCTGTAAGGAATTAGCTTCCCTTACAGTGATAAAGGTCTTTTATGCTATAGGTATAGATTGCCAGCCTCTAAGATATTAACAGGACGCTTTAGCTAAATAGTGTGCTCCTCTGCAGAACTGGGGCTAGTTTCTGATTCAACTTTTCACTATCCACCCACCATCCAATTATACCAATGGCTACACAGGGTAATGCTTTAAGCTCATGGACTTCAGGATCAGATAAATCTGCCAGGTATTATGGACAAGCTCTTAGGATCTTAGTTTCCTCATTCTTAAAATGGAGAT